TGTGAGAAAGACAAAGAATTGACGTCAGTTTCCCTTCACGCTCCGAGCATCCGTGATCCGTGGCCGAAAGACCGAATTGTTACCTCTTCAAACACGCTAGTAGCGTATTCTCATTGACCGGAAACTCTCCCTTCACCTCCTTCAGCTCGAGACTAATATCTAACATTGGATCAATCGTGGTCGTCACGCTTCCACAACGAGTACAAGAAACATCACTCTGATACGCTCCTGCAAACGTCGAGTGTATGATGCAATTACATGAGATATTAGTGGAACCCTTGCAACTGCTGTGCATTTGATTCAAAGTCGCCATAAAGAATTCGTGGGCGTCTCGTTGGGCGTAACCAGCGAAGTCAGGATATTTTCGCCAAGTCATTGCTAAGAGACTGATCGGACCATATGGAGATGTATCGTTGGAATAGACCTATGTACAATTTTTTAGAATGAGCGAAGAGCAGAATTAGAAAAGAGACTTCTTACTGCTGTAAAAAGCTTGTCCATCTCACAACAACTACAATCGTCGTTTTTACATTGTTTGTGGTTGTGTTTGTCTGCGAGGAAGTAGTTTCTCAGAAGAGGGTTGTGGACGAAACATTGCAGGACGACGTTCAAAAAACATGTTTGTCCGAGGTTGAGTAGACCCCGTCGACCTAAAAATGTATAAGAGATATTGTATCATAACACAGAGCGAAATACGACACTGACCTTGACATGAAACTGGTTCTGTATTTTCTAATGCACTTTTTTCCTCTTCGGACGGCACCCAAAATCTATAGGGCTCTCTCTGTCTACCTTTAACTTGTAGATGGATTCGTGGATCAGCATTCCGCTCACAGCGAGATTCTAGGTAGAGAAGTTGACTAGTCATCTATAGTAAGCTTACCTTGGAACGGGGTATATTGTTCCTCCACACGAAGGACAGCCTCTAAATGTAGAGCATCGATGGCATGACTATGAATCATATCGTCGCAGAGCGCACAATAGACGGTCCCAGTCTTGGCATCAACACCTAACAATTGTGTAAGTTGTGAGGTAGATATTCATGCGAATAGTCAAATAAATGGTTAACGCAAACACACGAAACCGAAAATGAATAAGAAACGTACAAAAGGTGTGATCATGGTCTTTGAGATGACTGGACATTTCTCCCTTTTCCCAGCAACCAGAATATGAGCAATACAAACATAAGAAAGGCCTCAGAAGTGGGGTATTGCATGATCCGCAAGTAAGGTTAGAGACCTGCGATTACCGGTTAATCATAATTGTGTGAAAAATTGGGGTGGTTAGAAACTTACCTTTCGCCGTTTTGGCAAGCTTTGTCCGTTCATTAGACGGCGGGCGTTCCATGAAATCACACTTTTGTACTTAACAAAAGCTTCGCTGTCCAGAACATCTGGTGTAAGATGAGGACATTGTTCAGGGTCCTCGTTCCCGGATGAAGACATAGTAAAAGAGGCTATCGCAGGTCAAGTATGTGAGTATGTGTAGATGGAAGTTAAAGTACAAGAAAACAACCAGAAGACCCCACGACTCGACTGTTCTCTATCGGGAACGATGTTCCCTCTAGACTGATGACGTTGAGCGGTTGAAGGAGTTGTTGACGCGTGTTGACGCTGTGAGAAACGGAACCAGAATCTGAATTCCGGATTAGGGATATTATTCACACCCTTTAATTTTCCTAAATGCTTCCGTAATCTATTTCAAAAAAAAAATCTATAGCCTGCTGCATCAAACATACTAGAGAGAAGGCTAAAAGTGAGGCTCAAGACCTATATACTCGTAAATAAACTTGAAAGTATAAATAAAAATTGAGCGATCAAGGTGCAGTCATAGAGAAAGGTCTACATCAAAAGCGAGTCTGTAACAGTTACCGTGACCGAACGTCTAAGCTTCTGTTATTTAAGTGTCCAGGCTTCTGGTATCATTGGCATTGAGCTTATATATCTGCAGCAATTTTTAACATAAACATCAGCCCAATCGCTGTGTAAAGCACATACTCTCTGCCTAAGCTGAGTGCTGTTGAACATCCCCACATCCTGGTGCGAGACCCCTTCGATGAGGTCTAGAGTTTGCGTTTTAGGCATACCGTCTGGCATGGCTTCGAGCATGGCAATGCAGTTCTGGCCGCGCTCAAAATGTGAGGCTCCTTGAGTCTAGATACAGGCCGGACATGAGGTCTTTATGAGTGAAAAAAAAAAGCGATGGACAAGAAAGAAATAGTTGACGCTTGCCCTAGCTTGACATGAATTATCGCCCGAGCCAAGATCGGCCTGCATTAGCCACATAAATAGTAGATCAATCAAAAAGAGCGAACGAATCCAACCGAAATGAGGAGACTTACCGTCCCAAAGCATAATGTATATATCGTCCAAGATACCTCGAAACGATTCCGGAACGTCCGATATCGTTGAAATTACCCGTTGAATATCCGGGCATGTTGCCAGAAAGTCCGAATTTGTAGTCATCTACGTTATCGCAATCGAATAGTTCGACCAGACGGTCTTCCACGAGCCAGAGGTATGAAGCTGGGTTCGCTATAATGCCATATATCATCCAGCGAAAGTAATCATTTCTTAGAGCAAATAACTCACCAACAATCTAACCAATTCTGTCATCATTGCTAGTGGACTTGCGCATCCCTGCGTAACGGTGAACGAACTGGGCTGCGGCTGAATGTCCAACAAAGAGAACATTCTATCAACTCATATTTACCGTCAGTCCACTATTTGAAAGATACTCAATGAGTAAGCTTTACTCACCTCCATCTTTGGAAACATCGTCTGGTTGAAATAATAATCTACCAACGAGTCAAAAACATCAAAAGATCCAATTTTTTCGTCATCATCGGGACCCGCAGCGTAATGACCATTGAACCATCCATTTGTGTCCTAGTAAAGCTGACTGGAATCACTAGCCCCAGCTTTGATGTCGATTTCGGCGAGAAAACACGGCGTCGTGATCGAGGTGGTATTAGGGTTGAAGCTTGTATCGGTAGATGCTATATCCATCTTGACGTTCTGCATGTCGTTCCAATCTAGGCATATTAAAGGAACAGGATTAAACAGTCAGATATCAGTAACGACACTGTGATTAATGGCGACTTGGGTCATTACAGTTCCAATGATCACGAAGCTTTGCACCAGGAGCAATAATAGCACGAGTCACTTCCGCTAAGTCCTGAGCTTTGATAGATAGACTCATCGACCAAAAATCGATGGAAATTAGCACTTGAACTATCATATACTAGAGTCATGAACCTCTTGAAAACCCAAACTCACCATAGGGGAATCCGTTCCAGGAACAGACCACTCGGTGATCAGCTTCGCGCCAGGAATATCGGGTAGCTCCTGCCAACCAGTGAACCAGTTGCCTTTAGGAGTCGGATTCGGTACCCAGTCATAAGCGTAAACTGGATAAAACGACAAAGTTACGAGGGCGAGAAGAGCGGAGAAATTACAAGACATCTGAAGACCGGTTTTCTTGACGGCCGCAGAAACTTGAAGCTGTAGGTTCTGATTTGAGGGATGACAGAGAGCAACTGAGATTCTCAAACCATGATTTATAGGTAGAGCGACATCATTAATCCTCAAATCGGAAAACCTGGAGATTAGAAAGAAAATCGGGTTAGGTACCCCACTCTTCTTTGTCCATCAAAAAGCACAATGAGTCCGGATAAGTGTCTGGAAGCGAGCACAAGAGATAAGAGGGATAGCTCGTTGCTAACGATAGACAGAATACTCTTGAGGAGGAGGAGTGGGAAACTCGTTAAAATTCGACCGAGGTTTGTCAATGTCAAGGCTAAAGCGCTAAAGGCTGGCTACTTGGAGTAACCTCGGAGGTCTTCATACTTTTCCGAAGAGATACTCACGAGGCGCTCTCGCCACAAAGTAATCGGGGTCCAGTATTCTGTTTGAGAAATCATGGGGGAAGTCTCCTAGGCCTTTGAGCACTATGATTTACATGTCATTCACATCCAGGTCGGAGAATCTGGTCTACAGATATGGATGAGTTTGCAATGCCTCAGTCTCCGTCTGTTCGAAAAGTCATAGCGAGATTTTTCATCCAAGGATACTAGGTTATATATGCACATACATCATACTCGAAGCCTGAATTCAAGCAGATCCAGAGTTTACTTTTCCGGGGTTTGGGTATGCTACGTGTACCAGAAATGCACGCTTCCTTTCACTTTGATGAGTTTTTAGTAAATTTTTGAGACACACAGCAACAAGATAAGTGCGTTCCGTATGGCTCCAATATATGAATCATGTCTACGCATCGCAATCAGATCCTCTAAGAAGTTCCCCACGCCCCACGATGCATGAATCGTGACTCCAGATAGTACTGAGGTGTTCAAATCGTTGTATGCGAGTAGCCAAATTCGAAATTTGCCTACTTATTCATTACGTTGTTTCGTCAGCTAGTTCAACGAAAGTAGACGCGACGACGTCCCTAAATCAGCACTGTCTCCTGAAAGGAGAATAGATTCTGCGATGTGTATGGGGGGTATACAACTAGTAGGCACTAATACGAAGAGAAGGTAGATTGAATGGAAGACTAAGGATTATTATTCAAATACAAGCAACCTGGGGGCGAGAAAAGAAATCTCTAGTTCTTCAGGTATAATCTTAAAAGACAAGGTCAGTAAAAGACAAAACGGATGAGTATGGTCATAGTCTGGAATGAAAAGCACCTGGATGTTTAGTCTGTGTCAGAGATATAATCTTTAGAAGAAGGCACTGATGGTCCTGTAGGTAGGTAGGTAGGTTACACGGGTAACGCATAAACAATGCGCGGAACCATAAAGGTTCACCCGGTGACGCCAGCTCAGTAGGGGCAAACACGCGGTAGACCGTCTACTCAACTGATGCCCGGTGCTGCGAGGTGCAAATCGGGCCCCTGCAGCTACGGTACTGCAAAGTAGGTGCAGTATGCTACGAGGTACAAATAGGCCACCTGTAGCTACGGTACTGCGAGGTGCAGTGGTGGTAGGTAAGTATCATAGTGTACTAGTGTAGTGGTTATCACACATATGGGATTCTGATGGTATATATTGGTCCTTACTTATTCCCATGACCCAGGTTCGAGTCCTGGCAGGACCTCTTTGGAACGTTAGGGCCTGTTCGGTAAAAAGTTGACGATGCTTTTTACCGGTATATCTTACTAAGTCACTTTTTCGTGTCCTGTTGCTACTTTCTATATAAGCAAAAATATACCAGTAACAGCGGTAAAAAGCAATTAGCAACTTTTTACCGAACAGGCCCTTATACAAAAGATATTTATGAAGGTTTATGGGGCCGACTGAAAGGAGGAATCATCTTTACACGCAACTTTTAGCCTCGGTCGGTCACCGATGTGGTCTTATTTGTCAAGACTTGCCAGTTGATGTGGTCCTGTTTCAATCAGAAGCCTCTGACTTACCAATGGACTATGGTTCTAGGCCTCGTACTTGCCACGCTTGCGGTGGAGTGGGCCGAGTCTGCCAGTGAGTCCAAGACGAGGTGAATGTGCTTGTTGTGTTCTACTCTAAGCGTGCCCAAACTATCTACAAGAAGCCAATAGACAACAAGTACAAACAATGACCAAGCGTTCCAACCAACCCGAGATCCCTACTCCATGTGCCCCCTTCAAACATAGCGACGTCCGCGTCGCTAAACCTCCTCGCCAACTACTGCCCTATGCGTTGCCAGCCCCTGAGTCAAGAAATATCGTTGAGAATATCATCTATACCGTCTTCTTCATCCAAACCTCCGGCCACGTCATCAATCCCATCTGTTTTCCTTCCCATGTGTCCGCTCTCTCCTTCACTTCCGTCCTCTTTGATCAACAATTCTTCGAACGCTTTCTGGTCTTCAAATAACTTTGTACCGGGCCGTGGAACGAATTCTCGAAGTCGTCTTGCACTGAACAGGCCGTTGATGGGTGTTCCCTCTAGAGTTTCCAGTCGGTAGGAGTTGACCAGTCGTTCCACAACCCGTTTGGGTGGAGACCATTTAGGGATTAGTTTTCGTTCGGTCCTGAAGGTATAATCCAAGTCACTGCGATATATCTGCACCAACTGACCCTTTTTGAACATTACCTCCCCCGGATGTCGTTTCAAAACCCTTTTGTCAAACACCTTCTTCCTCTTTACTGCATGGCGTACTATGGCATCATATCCGTCCAGGCGTTGCTGTTCCGCATAAGCCATTTGTATGTCAACGTCTACTGGTTTCAAGACTGCGGCACTTTCGGCGAACGGCGTTTTCTTCGTGTTGACAACGAGACCTAGCATCAGTTCCTTGGGCGAGAATTTGAGAGCCGGTAGTATCCTATAATTGATTACCCGTAAGGCCTCATCTAGGTACTCTGGCCATTGACTGGGGATGTCCTCCGGTGACACGTCGAGATACTCGTCTTCTCCTAACCCTGGAGAACACAGCTTTTTCAAGACACTCAGCAATATTTTGTTACCACCTTCTACCAGGCCGTTGATCCACGGCGAGTATGCTGGAAGTATGTAGGTGTCGACTCCCCATTTCCGACAGTATTCTCTGACCTCTTCGCAGTCAAAATGTGAACCACCATCGCTTCCAAAAGTGTCTGGTGGGATGTACCCATGGAAGATGCGCGATAGGCTGTCGACGGTCGTCCTTCCGCTACCCTTTGCCTTGTACTTGAAGGCCCACATGTGTTGTGAGTATGAATCCAAGTATACGCCCAGCGTTGTGTAACCTCCTTTCCCTTTTGGCATTGCCAGATAGTCACCGACGAGTAACTCGAAGGGATGTCGCCGTGTGATGGGGTTTAGTAAAGAATGAAGGTGTGTTGATCCGAAGTTTTTACACTTCGGGCACTCACTAATTGCTGTTACGATGGACTCATCTAGCCCAGGACTCCATATGCGGTCGAGTAACGAAATTTTGACGGCATCGCGACCCCAGTGCCCGCCATTCTCGTGTTCCTTCCGAGCTAGTTCCACCGCCTCTCTCCGTGATACACACTCGACCTTCGCTCGTGCCCGGATACTGCTGCCGCCCCGAAGTCTCCACAGTTTTCCCTCCTCGATCAGGTAACCCTCTGCACGATGCCTCGCTCGCTGTTTTTCCTTGATGCTTAAACCACCATCCAGGCCTTTTAATGCATCCACTACCTCCAACAAGACTGGTTCATCTTTGAACCGTTCCCTCAATACAGCTACTTCTCCGTCTATATCAACATGCATGACATCATGTATCAAGCCATGCGCCTCTTCCCAATCCTCGTTCACTGTCCACTCGCTTCCATCCCCAGGTGTCCTCGGTGACTCTTCCCACATGCGACTCAGTCCGTCAGCAACAACATTCTTCCTCCCGGGTATATGCCGAACTTTTTTAATATGGTGCGCAATGATTCCGTCTCTCCATCGTGCATGCGTGGCATTAAGATTTGGGTTTAGGATTACATCTCGAAGGGCCTGGCAGTCTGTTTCTATCTCCAGCGGGTATCCCCAGATTATGTCGGAAAACTTGTCTAGTGCGCATTTTAGCGCTGCGAACTCAAGCAGAAAGGGTTTGTACTTCTCCTCTGTCTTTGATGTTCGTTTTGACATAAAAGCTATAGGGTGGATTTTGCGTACTGTACGCCCATTGGGAAGAACCGTGTCGAAACGCTGTGACAGGACTGCTGCAAAGCCTTCCTTGCAACCGTCTGACGTTACGATAAAAGGCGATCCGTCCCATTTTGGACATTTCAAGACAGGTTTGGAGGTGAGCGCTTTTTTCAGGTTCACGAAGGCTCTTGTGTGTCGCTGCTCCCATCGTAATGCTAATTTGTGATTACGCATGATATTTCTGTATGTAGCCTTGGAACAATGCGCTGGGAGAGTCACCGCACTGGTCAAGTCACGAAGTGGGCCTTCGATTCTCGAGTAGTCCTTGATCAAGTCCTGGAAGTGGCCAGTCAGCCCGAGGAAGGATACTAGATTCAAGGCATCTCCTGGTTGTGGCCAGTCGACAATTGCAGTCAGCTTGGTTAAGTCCGGCGTTACTCCCATTGGACCAACTGTCGCCCCTGCGAACACTCCTTCGGTGACGAAGAATGCTGATTTTGAAGCGGACAAGGATAACCTCTTTTCCCGTACACGTTCCAGGAGTTTTGTGAGTTTCTCCTTCATCTCCTCGAATGTGTCTGCCGCTGAAGCACCGTCGTCCACAAATAGTTCCATTACTTCATCCGCCAGCAGGTCGTGAAGATGCACCGCGGTCATATGCGCAAATGTGGAGGGTGCACCTGTAAGTCCAAATGGCATTCTCTTGTACCAGAAGTAACCCCTCCCTTCCACGTAGAAGCATGTGTAAGGTCGAGACTCGGCGTCTACTTCACAAGCGTAGAACCCGGAAGCAAAGTCAAACAATGACAAGAATTTGTGCCCGCTGATCCGCTGCTGTTTGGCTCGTATGTCACCCTGAGGCATTGGCGCGACTTTCGTGACTTTATTGACTGCATCGAAGTTCTGGCAGATCCTCCATTTCTGCGTGGCAGGTTTCTCTGTATGGTGAGGTGCTTCCAAACTTGGCCGTGGTGGCAGGTCAAACGCAGGCTCCAGTCCTGCCTGTACGCATTGGTCATTAAGGCGGTGCTGTAGTTCCTCGAGGGAAAGCCCATCACCGTCATGTGCCTTTTGGGCCAATGTGGTCGGTGATACACATTTGACCTGGTCTGGTCGACATTGTTCAATAACACCGGCACGTAGCATTTCCTCAATCTTCTTGTGGAAGAACTGTTTTTGCGGTGGGGTTAATGGACGTTGATGGACGTGTTTCGGGAACTCGGTGCTAGCGGGTATATTGAGTTTGTGCACTGCTCCTTCTACTGCATGCACCTCGCTGACTGATAATGCAAAGCAGTCGGCATATTTACGAATTAGGGCTTCTGCTTGTAGTCGCTCTTCAGGTGTTAGACCGTTCCCTATGGTGACTTCCTTCAGCACGCGCTCCACCCGTGCATCAAGAAACGGCTCTGTCTTCCTTGTGAAGACTTCATCGTCGGTGAGACCTTCTGTTGGCACTTCTTCGCCGATGGGACCATCAAGTTTCTCTCCATCCGGCGTTATGTGGCATATAGGAACATTGTCTGAAATGGCAGTGGTGTCAATTCGAGTGCGATCAGGAATTGGAATATCAGCAGAGACTTCCCTCGAGGGGGGTGCGCAATTACCCCCCACAATGTGTCTGTGCGCTTTTAAAATATGTCTCCATCTCCGGCCTCCGATCATCTTCGCTTTGGGTTTTGTCCTCTTCATCTGCTCCACTGCCCATCTCTGCATCTCTCTTCTCCTTCTACGTTTCTCCATTCGTCGTTGACATTGTTTAAGGTTGGTGTCTTTAACTTTATCAGTTTCTGGTTCCACCGTGCATATCTGATTAGTAACGCTCTTTTGGTTGTCAAGTGTGTCATTCAAGACTCGCCTCGAGGGGGGTTCCTCTCGATTGCCCCCCATTTCGGTTCCACACTTCTTTAGTGAGTCATTGCTCAATTTTACAACACCTTCCTTCCCCGTAATCTGAATGGTGTCCTTGTCATAGTCGTGTATTGCATGGAAGCGTTGCAATAACGGTTTTCCAAACAAGAATTCCCATTTGCCGCCGCTCTCAAATACCTCAAACTCTCCTCGCACCGATATACCACCCAATACAACCGTGCCTTCCCAATGAGCAACACTCGGCACCAAAGAATCATCCGCCATCCTCAACCTCCGCCAAGAAGGACCCCACCCCGTAAGTATTCCTTTCAATTTGTCAAAAGTTGTTGTTGACATTGCCGATATCATTGCACCATCATCAAAGAATGCAGTTACATCGACGACATTGCCTTCCGCTCCAATAAAGCCTACGGCATGCCTGAAAGGTATAGTCTCTCTATCTTCGTGCCCCACAGAATACAGTCTAACAATCTCGAATTTAGGCAAGGCCGACATTACATTCTGAGTATCATTACTCGAGTATTCCGTGAGGTCTGCAGAACTCTCCCCAGACAGCGACCTCTCATGCCTGGGGACAACAACTCCAATCCGTCGAGAAGTGATTCGGGCCGCCTGGTTGACGTTTACGCAGCCGGCCCTTCGCCATTTCCCTGGTTCTCATAGTCTCCTCCTCCTTGGTATTCCATCGTGAGCATGTGATACTCAGGGCTGACAAACGCAACTACAGCTTCTGTATTCCGCCGGAATGAACCAAGTGCATTTGTGCAGAGACGACGCCATGCCTTCTCTTTACCGCTGATGAAGTCTGGTGTGGGGCATATACCACTATAATGGCCATGTTTTCCACACAGGAAGCATTCACCTGAGCAGACTTTCGCAGTTCCTGGACGTAGTGGGTATGGACGATTCTCGTTGACTAGAGTGGTGTTTCCTCCATGGGTTTCTGCCCATGTGATCTTCTGCTGTTCCCATGCTCGAATGCCTTCGGCGGTGTTGGGATGCTGTGGTAAAATATCAAGGTTGTTGCGGATGAGTCGTTTTTGTTCTTCAGTGTAGATAGGAAAAGTGCGACCAAGAGGATTTAGTACCGTGCCTCTACCGCGGGCAGCAAAAGGCATGTAGCTTCCTCGACCCCGAACCATATATCCTCCTCGGTAACCGCCTCCTGTGTTGTTTTGGCCACTGAGGTTCATGTTTGCGAACTGGGCTGCAACAGCATCCGGGCTATTGGAGGCCGAGTTCACCCTTCTACCACGCTCGCGTTCCAACTCCTGGATTTTTCGCTCTGTCTCTTTTGCTTTCAATGCCCTCTTCGCTCCATCTTTGATGAACTCGACATCTACCTCCCGAATTTCCTTTGTGAACGCTGCCCAGTTTGCATGTTTACTGCTGACCTTCTCTTTCAGCACGTCCGGTAGGTTACTACGCACTTGAACAATCAGAAAATCGGTTTCTGCAATGCCCGCATTTTTGGCCAGGATCTCCAAAGTATCTGCTGCAGCAACATGACTCCACATCTGCAGCCCTCCGTGCTCTACTTTCGTCCCTAACTCTTCCTCCTTCAAACGATAATCCGTAAGCTCGGTGACGTATTCTGATTTCTCCTTCTTCACTGCCTTCTTCTTCGGCCACCGTAAGAAGAACAGTTTCACCAGTTCATCCCATGACGTAGGTGCACTGTCGCCGTCCATTGTCTCGTCGTACCACTCCTCCCCTGGGTGTCCGGAGGCCATGTAGATGGCGAAAGTTGTGAACATACTCGCGTCGTCGTGGTCAAGACCTATGCGTTGGAAAAGTTTTTTAATGAAAGTGTCGCTATTTTCTTCAGGTCGGCCATCGCCGAACCACCACAAGTCTTCCTTCGGCATGTCTCTATTCCAGCGTCGAGGCTGTTTTTTGGTTATGGGTGGAGTTTCGGGGTTTTCAAAAGGCTGAGAGGGATCAAAGAATTCTTCGTCCTCGGACGACGCCGGGGATGATGGAGGGTTATTAGAAATTGAGCTTTCACTCGATAATGTTCCGGGGCTATCACCCCACACTGCCGGTGTGAATGTAAAGTCTGTTTCTTGTGATGAGCTGGCGTTAGGAAATGGGTTGAATGAGGAGTATTGGAAGTGATAGAATTGGTTGGCGTCCAGAATGAAATGTAGGAATGGTTGGAACTAGGAACTGGGAACTTGGGGACGAAGATCTTTAAAATGTATTGGGAACGTGGATCCAATGCAGATGACGCGTGTACGAGGTTTTCTGATGGGATGGTTCTTGTCGGACGTAATTTGGTTGCACGTAATGTTGTGGTTAAGAATCACACTCTCATCACCAAGATGGAGTGGGCCGAGTCTGCCAGTGAGTCCAAGACGAGGTGAATGTGCTTGTTGTGTTCTACTCTAAGCGTGCCCAAACTATCTACAAGAAGCCAATAGACAACAAGTACAAACAATGACCAAGCGTTCCAACCAACCCGAGATCCCTACTCCAGCGGTGGCCCACTTGACTTCATCATCTTTACACGCAACTTTTTACCTCAGTCGGTCACCAATGTGGTCTTGTTTGTCAAGACCTTTATTACAAATCAGGCATCGGCCTGGGGAGGCCTCGTACTTGCCACGCTTGTGGTGGCCCACTTCACTTCATAGATAGTGTACTTGCCCATTGGCTATAACGAGAAAATGTTACACTTGCACCGTGACAATGATATAATGTAAATAACATATAGCTGTAAAAAGCGAACGGTGTTTAGTATTTACACACTCTTCATGAACATAAGTAGCTGTCCACTGGATCCATAAAGGTCAGACCCGAAACCTTTCAGAGTGCTAGACAAGTAATGATATTGACCTGATATACATATATAAATACTGCGAATATTACAAATGTTCACTCCCCTCCGGATTGTATCGACTTTGTGTCTACGAGATATGCATGCTTGAATACGCAAAGCCTGAGTGTAATGGGGCTTACACCTCGATAGCCACATCTTTGTCGATCTGTGTCATTTCAAGGTCATTCTCCCTTAAGTCTTCACGACGGATATTGATTACTTTGTCCTGTTCCACACCATTCCTACCATCCCCTTGAGTTCCCAATGGTGCTGAAGCAAACTGCATCGGTCCTGTAGTTTTCTGTAGAATTGTTTCGCATTGAGTCTTCTGAACAGCTGTAAGTATGATGACTATGCTGGGCAATATGCTGGCGACATGGGGGAGGATGGTGTTGAAAAACAAAATGGTCATAGGGTCTGTTTTGCCAAACACTCCGAGAACAAACTCGAACTGAGGGGTTCAGGACACTCATTAGATAAGTGGCTTGTGAAGTGATTACTATAAGTTACATACCCAGACTGCACAGTACACGGCACCCGATTCTACCAGTAGGATCAATATTCGCCCCAGTTTGCTACTTGTACTCGTGTTCCCGAGGGTTGCTTTGACGAAACGTCTGTAACACCTGGCGGGAATTATTTTGAACGACGAATGATAGTGAATTCAGCTATCAAAAAGATTTACCAAGCCTTGTATGCAATGAAGAGAGTAGCCACGAAGTTGGTGACAAGCAATGGCACGACATAGATAACTGAATTTTGCTCCAAGTTACCCTGTTGAAGGTCGGATATGGAGATTAGAAACTTCATTAGACTAGGTTCGCATTGACTTACCTGAAGTACTTGCTTGAGACTAAGAACGGTATCGATTATGGCACATACTGGAAAAGCAGCATTACTCCACTAAAGTCAATGTTTATCGACGAGTTATAGTTACGCACTAGTGGTTCCTAGGATACAAATAACAAGGATACCCCGAAAGAAATATCGTCGTTCGGAAAGATTAAAGAAAATCCAGGCCCGCCAGACAACTATACAATCGCCCAACAAATACTTTTGGAATCAAAAGTCAGGTACTTTCCAGGGAGGTGGAAAAGTCCATCAAAACTCACACTTATCCGCGAAATAATCCCTTCCACTACGTCGCCTTTTATCAAAACTGGAGTTGGGTCATAATCTGGATCTGATAATGACTGGACGGTTTTTGAAATAGAAATCAAGTCGACGACGATAGCAGTGGTCGAGTTGATGAACATGATCATAAGGGCGATTACAATAAGAGAACGCGAAAGTGATTTTCGCAGTCCACGACGCCTGATCAAACAAATATCAGAGAATTCGTTTCAGTTTCAATGCACATTATCGCGAGGCCTGAAGATTTACATGATGAGCCAGCATGCGGAGAAAGTCATAAGAGTGGCCATTCCTGCAAATAAAGTTTCCATAAGTTGAGTTTTGTGCCCAAGAATCAGAAACTAGTGTTAAGTTCACCGTAGAAAATCCCTTCGATTGCTTCTTGCAGAATCGATTCTCGGACCTCAAAGGCAAGCAAGGGGGACAAACTAGGTTCTTTAGTGGAGCCTGACATTTCTCGACAGTTATGGTGGTAAGAGCGTTACAAGAAGCTTGCTGCTGAGTTCGCGGCGTGGAGGCAGGATGGGTACTACCTATCTATTCACCGCAGGCGTTCATATTTATAAGCTGTTCAATTGGAAGCACAGGAACAACATTCACTGAATCAAACCTTATATTTATATGAACAAATTCCAGAAGGTGATGATTAAGACAAGGTTCTCCTTTCATCTTCCTGCTACATACAACAAAGCTCTTGAGGCTGAGTCTGATTTTTTGTATATTGCCAATCACTGTTCGAATCAAATTTGAGGGAGTACTGTCCTGAGCTTGATATCAAACCTTTCATCAAGATGAGGATACACTTAAAAAGATTCCACCAATTTTCAGCGTTTGAACTTCTATGGATAGTGCCTCAATGAAAAGGACCCGGAACGGAAGCTCTTCATGGCCAGTTCAGCGTGCACTCGAGAACCCTACAATATGATATTGGAATCGTCAGTAAAACTCCCAGCCCATATTTTTGGAAAGATAACGAAAAGAATTGGGGGACAGTGTAAAAACAATAGAACCGGCCAAGAGTATGGCGGGTGCAGATCTGAATTCAACGGAATTCACCAGAACGTCTTTGTCGATTCAGCTGATCATAAATGAAGATCAGTGTATCGGTAGCAATGTTCATCAATTCAAGTATCGCCTTTCTGTGGGAGCAATTGTAGGTAGAACGCCACCTTACCGTCGCGAAAATCGGAAGGTGGAACACTGACACAGGAGCCACAAGGGCTTGTCCATGTAGTGGCGATACACGACACCTAGAGGGCATGTGAAGAATGTGAAGGTCAAAGAAAACATTTCATATGACCTTGCAATCGTAAATTTGGGAGAGGTCTAACAAAATTTTGGGCCCGAGAATTTTTAGCAGTCAAAAATATCCCCCGGAAAAATTACGTGCTACCAAAGATAAGATACTTCGATTTGTGGCCCAAATCTTTGAGCTGGGAAGTTAGTTTTAATTTTTTTCGAGTATGTTTTTAGTCGGCAGGAATAATTCTTGGGCCCCAGCAGTGAGGGGTAGGGTAGAGAAAAAGGATTTGTAGCCCACCGCGAGGGTCGAACTCGCAGCCTTCAGATCGCGAAGTCTCAAAATTGAGTCAGATTTATAAGAGTCTGACGCTCTATCCGATTGAGCTAGGCGGGCAATATATTGTCAGGAAAAACATTTCTCATAACGATGGCATGTAAAGTCTCTGTCCGGTCGGGTGACTCAGGTCTTGTACCTGAAATCTAAACGGCATGGCAGTTAGATGCCCACGGCACACCTTAATGCTGGTGCAGTTGCGTGGACCCCCGGCTGTATCCTTAATGGGTCCTTGAGCTGGGTTATCCTATCCTACCCTATCACATAGACATATACAAAAGCCTAATGATGCAAGAAAAACCACGGACTTTGACATAAAGGTTATGTTCATACATCCCCATCCCCATCTCGCAAGGACAAAAGTACTTAGAACAAGGTATAGGAATATGTTATAACAACACATGTATAAAAAACACCGCAACCTCCCCCAAGAGGGGGCCGACTAGACAAAAAATCAAAAAAATCAAAAAAATCATTTCAACCCAAACCACCCCGGCATCTCCGCCCACACTTTCCTCCTAGCCCTCTCACAAGACTCCTTCACGGACAACTTGCACGGCGTACAAATCTGAAGCGCACAGACTTTCTTCTTCTTTCCTTGTGATCCCCTAATCCCTTCCGCAATACCCGTTGCTGCTCCTGCCGGATTCGTGTTCGCATTCGCATTCGTCGCTCCATCAGCCCCAGCCCCAGTCCCAAGAGCGTTACCACCATCATGGTCATCATCATCCAATCCTTCTCCGTCTTCATCTTCATCCTCATCGTCCACTCCACCACCCTGTACAAAATCACACCTCTCCAACATCTCTTCCGCCTGTGAGATAGTAAACAACGGATCGGCATCTCTACCGACAGCTATTCCACCAACCGCTCTCAAGAGATTAAGCGCGATAAAGTAAAACGACTCGGCACATGGATGACCCCAAGGGGAGAACTCCGAAGGAGGAGGAATAACGGATAAGGAATCAGAGAGGTGGTGTGGAGGGTCAGAGGACGTGTGATGTGGATACGGTGATGAAGCTTGAGGAGCTTGAGGAGCTTGGGAGTTGGTGGATGAGGGCGAGGGAGCAGTGGGAGGAGGATAGGGCTGAGATTGTGGGACGAAAATTGGCGGATTTAGATAGGGATTAGGATTGACGTTTGGAGTGGTACCAAGGATGTTACTAGCGGTCGGCACCGTCGTGGTGGTCATGTATCCGGCTCCCACATCGGTATCGACCGCGTCGGCGAAAATGAAAGAGCCCGAATCGGAGTGTGGAAGCGAAGAAGGCGGAGGGTTCATGACAAAAGTAGGGACTACAGATGTTTGAGAAGTGTATGCGCCGGGAGGAGTCAATTGAGGTTGCAGAGTCATCGAAACTTGCTCATGAGTGGATATATGCGCTTGTTCTTGCGTTTGGGTACTAGTATATCCTTGAGGTTGATCTTGACCGACACCCGCACTCGATGTCGTGAAGGTACCGGTGACTGCGTTGCTTGTCCGAGTCTCAGCATACTCTGAACCTGTACTCGTTCTGATACCGGCCGCCGCCGCCGCCGCTCCCACTGGGACCCATCTTCCAGATCCACCGAGGGTAAATGACCAGATACACTCAGGTTCGGGCTTTCTTCCCACCAACTCGGTAAGAATCCACTCTGCGACAAACTTTTGGCCTGTTTCTCTACCGTCGAGTATACGCGAAAGGATTTGGAGAGACGAGAACGAGTTTGAGGAGATAGGCTCGGGAGTAGACGTAGACGACGTATTGACCTTGAGTGGAGATGAGTGTCCACGCGTATCGTCAAGTTCGCATTCTTCTGGGATCACAGCGTGACAGACACCGGGATCATGAGCAACGATCTTTTCTTTGCCGAGCACCCAACCAGCGATTCTACTCGGTGCATATCGACTAAGGTCGTAGAACGCGCTTTGCAATAACCGTCTCATGATCATTGCCAGCTCATAGTCCAGACAATCCGAATCGGCACCCATCTCGAGCGCAAGTCGGATGATAAGAAAAGGGTGCGGATAGAAATCGCGAGGACGATATTGACCAGCAAGAGGATGTAGTTGTGTCTGTTGACTTTCTTGTCTTGAACTTTGCGAGAGAGCAAAGATGGGAGCGAAGAGCGGGTTTTCGTATTCCAGCACGGTCATAGAAGTAGGATATGTCGCAGCTGCTTCTCTCCGATCCCAACCATCAAGTGTACAAGGAAAATCGGTAACGAGTCGTGTCAGGCAAAGCATCCGAAGGTGAGGAGTGAGGTACTTGTTAGAAAGGCGGAGAACGGAGGAGAGGAAGGGGAATATGTCTTGCGAAACGTCAGGTGGAGTCGGAAAGTACCTAGAGCGCAAAACGAGTATAAGTCCCGAAAAAAATCACTAAACGAAAAAGTGACACATACAGGCCATCGTACAAAGCCCGTAGAAACCAATGCAAGTCTTCCGCGTCATCATGCATGTCCACCCAAGGACATTCCTCAAAAGCTTGAAACAGCGTTTTCTCTTGATCAGATATTATCACAGGTTGAGGAACGCAAAACAGATCAGAAAATATCTCGGAATGGCGAGCGAGTTGTCCACGGTGAACTTTGAAAGCGTATGAAGTTGAGCAGCTTGAAGAGCAATCTGGATAGTGTGTAGTAGGAGCGATGAGGACAATGTTTCCATCGGAGAACCAGAAGTCTTTTGAGCGAACGATGTGCTTGTGTTTTGTGTCATTGGCGTTGGCATTGATTGTAAGGAGCGTGGTAGTCATTGAAGTAAAGAACGTAGTAGACATGTCAGGAAACTTTGCTCATAAACGAGCGAGTTCCTGTTATTGGTAGCAAAAGTGATGGGGTAGGTGGTGGCAAAGAAAAAGAGATGTTTGAACCTTGTTTGGCTTCAAGCTGTTGGCACTGCTGGCATCTGCTCCCGCATTCGCTTCTGACTGGCTCTAAGTCACATTTCACATTTTTCAATCGACAATATGAGCATCAATCCCCGCTTCCTTCGAGAGCTAGTTATTATGCTGATATTCAAGTATCTGTTCATTTGGAGATTTCGTAGTATGTCGTCGAGAATCATATTCACTCAAAGAATACATCTATTGTCTGCCCGCCTAGCTCAATCGGATAGAGCGTCAGACTTTTACGGCATGTCGGCTGGGCAATCTGAAGGCTGCGAGTTCGACCCTCGCGGTGGGCTAATATCTCTTTCTTTTTGTTGAATCTCCTCTCATAAACTCAACAGTTTCGGACATCAATTCCAAAGATTCTTTTGATATACATATGTTGCCTTTGTCATCCAGGGGCGCAGTCTAACACTGGACTGGATTTCTCAACACTTTAGGATGATGTACAGCCATATGCGATGCTAGCTCATCAATACTATTAGACGGACTACGCCAATAGAAGTCTAAATGTATGCGCCGAATTCAGTGAGCTGATCCGAATCAGCCGCCAGATGGTTCTATGTGACAGAACAGATCATAGATGCATACACGTACTATCTGGCGAGTTGGACTCGACTATACTCAAATAGTCGACATTCAAATAAGCAGTGACAATTCTACTCTCTTCTATGCTAGATAACAGATTTGAGACAATAAAATTCATTGGGAGATTCAAAGCAGAGCCATTTCCTTGATAACAGCCACATCATGAGGTATTCTGAATTCATGACAGTTGATCAAAGTTTTGACGACGGCGTGATCAAATGTCGTCAGAAATTCTTATGGATTGGCTCAGGTCATGGAATCAGCTGGGAACCGCACGCCCACAAAAAATTAATCATCAATTCGACACCTCCATTTTGATATCCGGCTTGCTCAAGAGTGCGACTTAAAAAGGGGAGCGATATCATCAGGGCCAATACCCTTACAATGAACGACCCCATCTGCGGTACGTACATTTTTAAGTACTCAGCTTCATATTCCTTCTCATCTTTTCAACCGGGTATTCCCCCCAGAAGTTCCAACTCGACCTGAACCAATGTCAAGTTTCGATTTTGCACGCACTCGATGCGCTCCAATAATAAACGAGAACAGAACCCCTAGTCCCAATCTCTCTCCGCGACCTTATCCTAGTCCAATACACTCTCATCTTCCTCCCGAGATCATGACAATCATATTCACCATCTGCTGTACCTCACTTTCTAAATCCTGGGAAGACCGGTCAGACGTCTACCCAAAACTCCCTCCTCCGTTCGTCCTCATGAGCGTCTGTTTGTCCTGGCGCACACTGGTTCTGAACACACAACATATTTGGACCTCACTTCAAATCAGAATATCTGATCGGGAATCTAAACCATCAAACGCTCATCAGAAAGTCTCAGCATTGATGGAGTGGTGGCGCTCTAAATCCCATCTTTTACCGATCAACATCGCCATGAAAATTCCTCCTGCACATCAGCACGTCTTTGGTAATGAAGATTTGTTTGAACGACTCATTCCATTGGCAGATAAATGGGAAAGTCTTCACCTCCAGATGCCCTCTTCATATTTCTCCCCCTGGTTCTTGGCTGAACGTATTCATGCTCCAAAATTACGGAGCATTGTCTTCGAAATATCAAGATCATCACGTTTGATTGATACCTACCCTTTGGCAGATAAACACCAGGGTATTTTTAGCAGACCGAAAACCATGATCCTAGAAGCTCCATTGCTGAGTGAGCTAACTATCATCTCAACACGAACGAAGAGGAGGAGGGACCCTTTATTCGATTTCTTACATTGGTCCTTTCCCTGTTCAACCCTCACTAAACTTCACTTGGTGGGAAGGTTATCAATTCACCTAATTGTCTACCTAAACATCCTATCCGAAGCCAAAAATCTCATAGACTGCCACTTGGATCTACCCAATTGGACTCCTAACATGATACAGGAGATTGACCCCTCACTCAAAAACATCATCCTCCCAAAACTCCAAAATTTATTACTCTACTCCTTGGTCAGCACTAGTAGTGCAAGACCTTATAGCGGTCTCGAAATCCTTCGATTCCTCACTCTCCGTTCATTGCAATCACTTACCATCCAAAATAACGTTCCGAACCACTTAAGAGCGGGGGTATTTCCACTGGGTTCAGTTCTCACTGAATTATATACTCGATCATTTTTCCCTCTGAAGATTCTCAATATTCGTTGTTCTAAAGGATTCGAATTCTTCGGGATCCAGGAATTTCTCCGGAATGTACCCACCATACAGGATGTTACTCTGGAGGAATGCGGGTTCGAGACTGAAAAGGACTCACTTAACATCAATCTATGTCCACCCATTCTACCATAGCTGGAGAAGCTTACTTTTGCTGAGAGCCGAGACCAGCTGGAGGTGGCTAGTCATGTGGCAGATTGTATAGAATTAAGCTGGTAAGAAGCTTAGATTGAGGGGTATAGACAAGCATTCTCAGGGGAGGGACAGAAAGAACTATACAAAGACTTAGAGAAGTGACACTTAAATTATCTTATGGTTGTAACAATGTACAGGTCTTGGCAAGGCTGAAAACAGTCCCAGTTTCAAAGCTTGAAATTTGTCTGACCAGTGATTTGGTCTCATCCCTAACTACATGTACTACAATTGTAGGTAGAGTCCTCTTTAGAGATTTATTATATAGACATAATGCCTACTATTCAATCTGGCCCTGTATAAAATTTTAAATTTTCTTACCATGTTGTTGAGAACAGGCAGCGGTAAGATTCGAGCGGCGGGACTTGCCAGAAAGATTTTGTCATGTGCCCGTGTTTTTGCGGCGAGGTCAGGCGAGGTCCGGATTGATGGTGCTATGGCTGCTAATTTAATAGGCAACCCAGGGTTGACAGTGCTATAGGAGTTGCTGAATAGGATTATCCCAATTCCAGAGCTTCCATAGTACTGTACTATTATGACCAAAAGTTCGTCCACTTTGGCCGTGACGCGATACTTCTGGTGGAGAATAAGTTCAGAGGGCCGGATGATGCGTTACGCAAAAATTAGTTCATTTTGCTGATCCGAGCTCGGGCCGCGTGACAGAATTAAGTATTGGGGTAGGTGTTCGGATGTGCATGTGATGTGTTACAATTTATAAAATGCCAAGTTCAAGGGGGGGTGAATTATGCGTTACGCGAACTTATGGTCGTAATAGTACAGTATGGCATGTATCTCAACATAGCCCAAATAAATTTCATTTTGCTTGATTTTTCTTGTATTTTAGGCACTGTAAGTTCATACAGCTACACCCCAGCTTCTGATTTTTCATTCATAATAGATACAGTTGAGATATCTAGTATGCCACCCCATGTGAAGTCCTTGAACACACCCTGCCAGGCACTTTGCCTCATTGGACCAAGAGGTGTCAGATCCGTCTGATTCTGACACGGTCTCACAGGGGAGGTGTAGGCTATTCAGTAGACATGTCGATATGCGGCCAATGCCAAAGGCTCTGACTAGTGATGTGTCCCAAACCACCACCACTATTCTGAATTCACGTTGTGCAACGCATCGCCGTTGATGCATTACAAGTTACAATAAACACTCAATATGACTCAGATTCTTTTTCTGTAGATACTTATACCCAATGTCTTTCTCATAATGTACATACTGATGTGTCCCAGCTGCATGCCTATAGTCAGCATCAGAGAAAATGACGCTCCATTTTAACCCCATTTTGATGATTATAATCCACTGCAATATTTCAATCAAGTTAGAATCCAGCCACCTCATTTTACCCCAATTATAATATGATTAAAATTCTTGTAACTATTCCCCATATTATAATTAGAATGAAACCATTTCAGTGAGTAGAATTAGATTATAATAATGTGGGCTAATCATAACACAGGGCATCTATTTAAATACCAATAATAATTCTAGCTATTCCAACCCCAATAATCATTTTAGGAATTCAAATCAAGTTATAATTATGTGGCTTAGTCCCAGCTAGTATACTAGTATTGACAAAATGATCATAAGTCTCTATAACCTAATGCCCCTACCCCACACTTGATTGATGTCATCTACTTCCCCATCCTCAGGACCAAGGTTAAATCATCCTCCCTTCTCCCCAATTTTGATTTGTTTTCACCTCAGGCTCAATCACCCTCTTCATTTCTAAGTATAAATATAGAGTCTGACATGAGTTCCATTTACTCACTGAGATGATACACACATTTCTCAAACTTGTCCAACCAGTGGTTCAGATAACACAGATGATAGGAGTAAGACAAAAAGTCAGTTCCAAGATGGATATATTAGTACATACTGCTATGAAATGATGATTGATCCGGAGTTGCACAGGAATTCAGATGACTGATTGAGATGAAAGACACCACAGCAGCTGTTGCAAATTTGAGTCTGAATTGTTGATGGGTTCGAATCAACAATGAAAACATATGAATGCATGACGACTTAACTTGAGCTTTGGGTTCAGAATAAAGCAGACAGGCCTGGTTGGCAATGATCAACATGAGACATTGAGCTTGTAGACATTGAGCCACATAGGCGGGGCCTGCATTTCAAGAAGAGAGGCCCAGAATCTAACATACCTGAACAATCCAACATGTGATGGTTCCACCGAAGTTCAAACACAGCCGATCCAGGTGGAAACTTCTTGTATCTGTTATGACTTCAGTTTAGCCAGGTATTAAATAAAAGACTTACAAGTAACCCCAAGTTATAACTGTGAATGCCATATCTCTGCATGTAATCGGCTAAGTAAAATGATGGTGAGATAGAAAAGATTAAAGCCACATATGCAATGATTTCCAGCCAAATCATGATAATGTATGCATTGAATTTTCTACTCGTTCTCGTGGTATCTCGGTACACATTGACTATGACAAAGAAGTAGAAGCCAAACTTCCAACACAAAATGTCAGCATCAGCGCAAGTGCACAATACAGATCCCCAGCCATTGGTGATAAATAAGAGGATACGCACAAACCAACCAAAAGCGATGGTCCCTAGGACTAGCTATAGATCACCGGTCTCCACTTCAAGAGGGAACTTCTAAAACTGGGAAAAAGAATTTGGAGTCAAAAGGAACTTATGGTTCTTCAGTGTAAAATCCTATGTCAATAGATGAGCTGTCCGACATAGTATGTATTGAGCTTTAGTTTCATCATTTGAAAGCAAACGAGGATATGGAAGAGAGTGGAGTACTGGAAGGGGGGGGGGTAGGTACGCAATTTCCGCAACTAGCAGGGAACCGAAGATTCAACTGCTTCACTGGATGAC